ATGGGCCTGTGTTGGGGGGCAGTCTGGGCCCTGACTTGGGTGCTGTCCGCAGGTGGGGGCGGGGCCCGGCCTCTTACAAGAAGGCGCCCACACTGGCCCAGTCTTGCAGGTCGGCAGCGAGGGTGGCGTCCCCGGCCTCGAAGAGGGGCTCGGGGGGCAGGCAGCCGCTGCCGCTCTCGTCCCACGGGTGCTGCAGGAAGGACGTGGCCAGGAAGGTCTCGTCGAAGTCCAGGCTGTCGGCAGCCTGCTCCACCGAGGGCCCCCACGTCGTGGGGCAGTCGATGTGGTGGCCGTGGACAGTGAGGTCCACGTCCCCGTGCGAGGCGGGGCTCAGCGGGGGGCTCAGCTCCAGGGCCTCCAGCGCGCCCAGCTCCCCCCCCAGGGCGCCCGAGTGGAAGACCGCCTCCCAGTCAAAGTTGCCTTTGAGGGGCTCCAGCTCGCCCTGCTCCTCCGGGGTCAGCAGCAGGGCGCTGGGGGGCCGGGGCGCCTTGGCCACCCGCTTGGGCAGCGGCTGTTTGCGCTTGTGCCCGAGCCTGCCCTCGCCCGCACCCCAGCCCACCTCCCCGGTGGCCTCCTCGAACTCCCGCAGCAGCTGCTGGGCCTCGGTGTTCACGGCCAGGGGCCCGGCCCAGGGCGCGGCGCTGGGCTTCTGCTCGGCCTGGCGGGCGAAGGCCGGGTGGATGTGGACCGGGGTCAGCCGCCGCTTCTTGAAGGCCCCGCTCAGCAGGCGCTCGGCGTACTGGGGGTCGATGCGCCAGAAGCCGCCCTTGCCCGGCTCGTCCTTCTCCCGCGGCACTTTGATGAAGCACTTGTTCAGGGACAGGTTGTGGCGGATGGAATTCTGGGCACAGGACAGAGGAGGGAGGAGGACGCTGAGCCGGGAGGAAGGGTCCGTGGCTGCCTGCGCTCCCTCCCGCCTGTCTCCTCCCCTCTTCTCTCGGTGGGGGAGGGGGAGGCGGCTCTGGGACACCGGCCACAGGGCCCCCGGAGCCAGGAGTGCCGTCGGGGGGGCTTTTATTCCCTGTTGCCGGGATATCTGCCGGCTCAGTCATCCGAGCCCCGAGCTACAGGGTGGTTTCAGTGCCACCCTGTCCTGCCCGCCCCCCCTCACCCCACCACTTGCAGCCTCTGGCCAAACGCCTCAGCTCCCCCAGGGCCTGGCCTGGCTGGCCCTCTCTGTTTGTGGAGTGAGAGGGTTGGGGTGGGCGGCACGGGGTGACCTGAGGTGTGAGGGGGTGTGTGTCCACACGCCTGCGTGCACAGGAGTGTGTGTAGGGATGAGGTGTGGTAGGAGCCGATGGCTCCTTTGTTGAGCCAGCCGCTGGCCAGGGCCTTGCCCCCCACGCCCCTCCTCCCACCAGGCTGTTTGGCCTCAGTTGATTATTACCCAGCAAAGAGCATAGCGCTCATTCCTGGGCCCACTTCCTGCAGTCGGGGCTTCGCAGGCTTGGGGGGGATGGGGGTGGAGCAGGGGTCTCTGCCTTCTCGCCACGGCTGCCGAGGGCCTCGCCCCAGCCAGGGCCCAAGCAAGTGAAGAGTAGCGGGGACTGTGATGTGCGGCCTGCTGCTGCGGGTGCCCCAGGGGAGAGTCTGGGTGTCCTCGGGGCCTCTGTCCCCAACCAGGCCCTGATCCCGGACTCTCAGGGCAATGCCTGCCCCGCCGCAAATCACCATCCTGCCGCATTCGTTCCTAGTTGCGTCGTCTTATCCAAACCGGGATGGGGTTAGGGGTCGGGGCCTGGACAGCGGGGCGGACGGGTGGGTAGTGCCCCTTGGCAAGGCTGGGTGTTTACATGGCGGCCTGGCCCTGGGCTGCTCTGCGCCAGGTTCCGGAGACTTGGAGCCTGAAGCCCGAGCTGGAGGCAGAGCCCCTGTGGGAAGCACCTGGCTCAGGTAATTGTCTCCCCAGGGAGCTTGACTGAGAGGAGGGGGAGGAGTGGAGACAGGAAACTGGGGAGCTGCTGGAGTGGGGGCTGGGGCAGCAGCTATAGGAAGGCCCCATACTGGCTCTCAGACACAGCTGCCTTCACACCCCACAGCACTCGACCCCCTGCCCCCCAAGCCAACTGCAACCAGGCAGAAGGCAGAGCGTGGGCCGATGCTCCAGCTTCCACTTCTGAGCCAGGTCCTGAAAACTGTCCCTGGGCAGGGCAGTGTCTAGGAATTCTAGGACTTGGGACAAAAATGTGTCCCTCGTCCATCACCACCTTCCCCCAGGGGGCTGTGTCCATGGCAAAGTCTGGCCCTGGTCTTTGGGCTGAGCCTCTTGGATGGGTGACAAGTGTTTGCCCTTTGAACTCAGCATCCTCACCCAGCCCTAAAGCCCTCTGAACAGCCCCCTTCTCTTAAGTCAAATGAGAGGCATTTCCAAGCACTGGGCTCCCCCAGGGCCTCCCTCCAGGGCCTTCCTCCCGTGGGGACCTGGCTACTTGACCCGGATCGGAGTGAAGAGAGTGAGTCCCTGCAAGAATGGAGGAGGAAGGGGCACGGGAGGAGGCTGGGAAGGAGCCGCCGCAACCCACAGCTCCCCTACCTGCCAGGTGGGATCAGCGTGGCGGAAGTAGCAGAAGTTGTCTGTGATCCACTTGTAGATGGCCGACAGGGTGATCTTGGTGGCCTTGCTGGCCTGCATGGCCATGCAGATGAGCGTGGCGTACGAGTAGGGCGGCTTCACGCTCGGGTTGGTGGTGTAGTCCACGTCGTCGGGGGGCGGAGCCTGTAGCCCCGAGGGCGAGCTCCCGGACGTGCACGAGGATGTGGGCTTGCCCGGCGTGTGCGGCTGCCCCAGGCAGGCGGGGTCCGCCGCCAGGGGGGACCCCGGCGCCGCCGAGCCCGGCACCTGATGGTAGCCGTGGGGGTCGGTGCCCCCCGGGGGCAGGGTGGGCGCCTTGGCGTTGAGAATGGAGAACTCCTGCAGCCACTGCAGGCTGGTCAGGCTGTCATCCAGGGCGTCCGGCTCCTCCAGGCCGCCCTCCGGCCCCGCCTCCTCCGCCGCCCCTGCGCCCGAGAGGCGCAGCCAGCTCTCCGCCATGTCTGCGGGGACTCTCCGAAGGGGCGGTCAGCACCCACGGCTGAGCCCCGGTGGCCCGCCGCGCTCTCCGGCCCGCTGACTCCCGCGGCTCCAGTTACACCGCCTCCCGGACGCGCGCTTCCATCCCGCGACCTGGGGGTCGCCTCCTCCGAATGCGAACGTGGGGCCTGCGGGGACCGCGGCGGGAGCTGAGCCTTTTCCCACCCCCGGGGGCGGGGGCGGGGGCGGGGGATTCCTCTAAAGTCGTCCCGCAGCTGCGAGGGTGTGTTAGGGCTGAGGTCTGGGAAACAGGACCGACCCCCGCAGGGACCGCCTCGCTTCATTTCCTCTTCGAGGTGGAAGAGGTTATTAGCCAAGTGAAGGGAGAGGGTAGGAGCATTCCAGTCGGTCCCGTTCTCCGCAAGAGCGGGAAGTCAGACACCCCCACCCCAACACAGGGGAAGGGGCGAGGGAGCCCGCGAGGGCAGGACGACAGGGCGGGGGCCCGGGAAGGTGGTCTGATCTTTGAAAAGGGATATTCGGATGGGAGATCAGGGGAAGGAAGGGATCGGGGCGGAAAGCCAGGTACCCCAACGCCGCAGAGGTCAGTTTCCAGGCCCACCACTTGCTGCGGGACGCACGGAAGAGCGCGCTGCCGCCCACCTTCCGCGGCCCGCAGACCTCTCAGTCCCTTACCTGGCTCAGAGCGCAGCCCGGGCTAAAGGAAGGTTCTGGAAGAAGTTACCACCACCCCCGCGGCTCTCTGCCCTCAGCTTGAGGGTCCCGGCAGCACCCCTCGTCGTCCCCCCAGCCTGAAGGCGCCTCTCTGAACGCCCGCGGCCCGGGACCCGCATTAAGTAGCCGCTCCAAAGGCTTCTCCTGCTGCCATGGCAACGCCCCGCCCCCATAAACAGCTTTCGCTGCTGCCATTGGTCAGCACGTCTCCAAGGTGACCGCGGGCTCTTGCCACTCTCTCCGGCGGTAACTCTCTTGGAACTCCCTCCTTTTGCCTCCCTCTCCCGCGCCACCCAGGCCCCTACCCGCCCGCGGCCCGCGCCTCGCATTCCCGCCCGAGGGGCGCGCGCAAGTTTCGGAGCAGCGCGCGGCTCGGCGCTCCTGCCGACTCGGGCACCCAGGGGAGCCGTTCCCCCCAGGACCCGCACTCCCGCCCTGCCCCCTCCTGTCCCGGCCGCACCGAGGCGTCTACGGCTCCGGGGACGCAGCCCGCGGCGCGGGGCAATGCCCAGAGCGGGCTCCGACTCGGGAACCGTGCGCTGGGGTCCCAGGGCCTCTCCTCCGGGTTGCGAGTGGCACTTCCTCGCGTTCCGCGGCCTGTCCCTCTCTGCCGATCCCGTGTCGGCTCTGGTGCCCGCGGGCAGGTGTGACTCTCCGATGCCACCTGCCGCCCAGGTCCGCAGCCATGGCCCGCCCGGATCGCAGACGCACCAAGGCGGGTAGGGTCATCCCTCCCGTTCCCGGTAAGCGGCTGCCTCCCCACCCCTGACATTCCAGAGGCTTCTGCGGAAGTCCTCCCTCCTTCCCAGACACCTGAGGAAGCAGACCCAGCGGGTACAACTCAGAGAAGCCGCGGACTTCCCAAGTTCTCCCAGCCAGGCCATTTAACCCAACAATTCCACCCCCTTTAAGTGACAGGGACTGTGGCCCTCCCTCCCCGCCCCCCGCCCCCCCCCTCCCTCCTGTCACCAGCTTCCCTGCTCTTCAATTATGCAGGAGCTGCAGTGTTGGGAGTTCTCGGGTTTAAGGGCAAGGGTGGGGCTGAGGGCTCCTGGCTCAGGCCTCTGCCCAGGCGCTGGAGGGCTGCGGAGGGAAGCCAGTGCCCAGGGGATGGCACATCCACTCCCTCCCAGGGGCATGGCCTCCCCTGCCCCTTGCCCTCGCCTCCCCTCCACACTCTCCCGTGTAAGAGGTAAACGGGGTGGGAGAGTCAGACAGGAACTCTCACCAATAACCAACCGCGGCAGCAGCGCTCTCCTTCCTTGTAAACAGTTTTATTCCGTTTTAAGAATCATGCAGCAGCCCATGAACACCGCATCCCGACGTCCCCACTGTCGCGTACCCATGAGCGTAACTCCAGGGATGAGGGGTACACGGATGGCACAACCGTACAGACACCTCTGCACACAGCCGGGGTGCAGACCCTAAAGCAAGGTGAGCAGCGAGGGGGCCAGGGTCAGGCGGACAGGACCCTAGCTCTCTCCGGGTGAGATGGCTTCAAGTGTGTGGGTCTGTGCCCAAGAGGTGCCCGGTGTGGGTGTGAACTCCGGTGGGATGGAAAAAGGCTCTGTCAGGAGGCCTGGATCACACCACCTGGAGGCCGTGGGGAGCTCAGACCCGTGGTAGGAAGGAGCGACCGGCCTCCAGTTAGCCTATGCCTGTCCATTCTCTCGGGGGCAGCGGCCTTGTCCCCTCTCAGGCTGAGGACTAGCCTCTGGGGGCGATATCTCTGCTTGCCAACATCTGAATGAGGACAAGGGGGGCGGGGGGGGGCAGAGGACAGGAAGTGACGGAAAAACAAGGACTGAGGGGCCATCCTGTAGCCCAGAGGTCTTGGGTAGGGAACCAGGGCTTAGAAGAACCTTTCTGAGCCTCTCTCCCCCTGGGAGAGGACACAGACCCCCCAGAAAGGGTGACGGTGATGGCTTCCTCTTAGCGTTCCTGGCCCCTGTGGCTGCTGTTAACCTGCGGCTCCTTCATCTCAGGTGACACCACACCGTGAAGGCAGTGCCGGGAGAGCAGGTGGGTCTGTGCGCCTCTACCCGAGGCTGAGGGAAGCCCCCTTTCCTGGCGTTTCTGGGGCTCAAACTTGGAGGAACTCAGGGAGTGGGGTTATTGCTCAGATCTCAATAGGAAAGGGGCTGGGGCTGGAAGAATGCCAGGGCCGGGGCGGGGGGGGGGGGGGGGGGACACGGAGTGGGGCCTAAACCAGTGGAGTCCACGGCAGGATTCCAGAGAGGGAGGACGTGGGAACTCCATCCAGAAGCTTCCATTCCGGCTTGGCTCACGTGGCACCTGTCAGAACAGCAGGCTCCCCGACCAGGCAGAGTGTGAGCCACAGCCACTGGGCGGCAGGGGGGCCCTGCTCACCCGGCCATGCAAAAGGCCGCCGGAAGGGTGCCGAGCGAGGGCTCAGGGCTCCCTGGGAGGCTTGGCAAGGGCCCCGAGAAGCTCTTCCGGGTGACAGTTCCAAATCCTAAGACAAGCCATTGGACGGGCATAGCCTGGGCTCCATGCCTCAGCCTCACACATTGCTGTTTACAGCTCTGCCTCCCAAGCCCGCGCTCGACCACCTTTTCCAAAGGCCAACAAAGCCTCGGCGAGGACTCATCAGAGCCAGTGCTGAGAGGGGGGACCCAGCACTCACGGTCCCGGGCAGCCTTGCTCTCGCCAGCTTTTGGGCTGAGCGGGGGAGGGCACGTGACTGGAACACTCTCTCTAAGTCTCTAATGAGCCTGTGGAAGGCAGTCCCTCCCCTTGCCCCTCTCAGGCTCAGGAGGACTAGAAGGCAGGGGGGCGGAGGGGGGGAGGACATGGGGGGGAGACTCCCAGGGGTGAAGGCCCTGCCTCCTGCCACCAGCGCCCAGCCCACTGCCGGCCCCCAGCTCAGCGCTCCGCACCGCTTCTTTGGGGAGTCCTGGGTACCAGCTGGAGGGTCCCTGGTCCACCCCCCTCTCAGCCTGTCTCTTCAACTACGAACAAACAGGGGTGGAGACGGGGAAACGGGTAAGAATATCACTGGACAGGGCCAGAGTGATGACAGCTCCACGCACAGGACAGAGGTGGTCACAAATGTGTTTTGAAATGTCACCTTAGGGTGGTGTCCCAGGCCTTCCCGGATGCACCTGATCTAAGACCCTCCCGAGGGCGGTCATGTAACTGGGAGGGGAGGGGGCGCGTGTCTCAGGTCCAAGGCCTCCTCTCTAAGCAAGACACTCACATGAGGCTTAGACCAGCTCGCCTGCTGGAAGCAAGAACTGTCTTTTCAACCAACCGTCTGGTGGGCTGGTACCATTTCTCTTGTCCTTGAAGGAAACTCCGCATACAGTGCAACATGGCTTTGCCTTCTCACGTGTCTCCCTCAAATCCCCCCCCGAACTGGAGGTTTCAAATTGGAGTTGTTGTCCTTGACACACAAAAACGCCTGCAATGCAGCCGCTAAGACTCCGAGCCTTCTGGTCTACCCGCCACGGAGAAGAGAGATGCTTGAGACGCCAGCCTGTGGGCTATGGCTCCCCTGAAGATCAAGATACAGTGGGAACGTTCCAGAGGGTCTCTGAGGAGGAAGGAGGCCTCCAGCCCCTTCGGAGAGGGCCGGGGTCCTGGTGATGGAAGGCTGGGGGCCGGGAGGAGCAGGCTGGCCTCCACGCCCAGCTCCCACGTGGGTGTAAAAGTCTCCATGTGTCCCGCTGAGGATGCCCAGGAGGCCATGGTCCAGTGAGTCCAGGATGGGATGTGGGGACCGGAGGAGGCTCTGGCCTGGGGCGGGCTCTCAGACGGCCAGAGGCCCCCACACGCAGCGCCCGCTCTCGGCATCCTCCAGGCTGCTGGACGACCGGCGCCGACGCCGAGGGTGCCGACGACTGAGCGCGTTGTCATCGGCCTGCCAGGTGCCTGAGGAGAGAGAGGAAGGTCACAGGGCCAGACCTCGGCCAGGTCCCTGGGTCTCCAGCAGGGCAGCCGGGAGCTCGGCATGGAGGCTGGCAGGATGCGTGTCACCTGAAACTCTGCGTGTGCGGCCACAGCGCGGGAGAGGGAACGGGAAGTGGGCGGCCCTGCCCCACGGGGCCTCTGCGCCCCATGACAGAGGGACACGCAGGCTGTTTCGCGCTTCGTGGACTTGCCCTGGGACCCACTTTAGTGCCTTGTTTTGAAGTCAGCCCACGTGCTATGCTGGACGAGAAGGAAACTGGGCCCAGCTGAGCTTTCCTCCGATGGGAAGAAGTGTTTGCACCCCGAGAGTGTCTGCTGGGGGGGGCGGGCAGGGCGGGGCAGGAAGTGACTGGCTGCCCAGCAGGGTGCTAGAGGCATGGGGGGGCAGTGCCATGGCTTCAGCACCCTGTCCCCACACCTGCCGCTCTTTTTTTTTGATCTGAGCAGCCGCCGAGGCTTGTTATCCGCCGGTGCCATCCACCTCAGAAGGCACTAGCCGAGAAACTGGAGGTCCCCTAGGTGTCACCCCTAAACTCCTCACCCTCCCCTCAGGCCCCTGCGGCTCTTCTCTCTCCTTGGCACTCTGCATCCCACCCACCACTGCCCCTCTGTCCACTCCCCAGGCTGCCTAGCCTGCCGTCAGGATGGCTGGGCTCCACTCCTGGCTCCTGCCTTCCCCCCTGCATGAGCTTGCGGACTGGGTGAGGTCATGGGGAGAGCGCCGAGCAGGGCGCCCACTAGCAGAAGGTGCACAACGGCCAGTGCCCCAGGCTCTGTCCCCGCATGCTCACCTCTCCGCATCTCCCCCTGCCCGCCCTCCCTGCCCACGGCCCGGCTCCATCCGCGCAGGGAGACGCTCGTGGACAGGCAGGGCCAGGCTGCCCACAGCGCAGGAGGAAGACCTAACTCGGGACTCCGAGCAGCGGAGCCCCCACCCGCTCCACAGGCCCTGCCAGATGAGGCCCAGGGGGTCGGAGGGCTCCCCTGCAGCCCACATGGACGCCCCACTTCTCACGCTGTGCCTGGACCACCTCCTGAGCAGGGCCGACCAACTCTGCAGGGCGGGGCCGAGGTTGGCTGTATTCAAGTTTGAGGGGGGACACTCACAAATGTGGGGGGCCGGCCGCAGGCTAGGCCAGCCAACCACACCCTCTGGCGGCAGAGGCTCTGGGGTTAAGCGGCATCAACTGCTTATTTCCAAGAAACGTGCTGGGCGATAATGCTTTCAGGGCTCTGATAGTCGGGGAGGTGGGCCCCGGGGAAGAGGGGTGAGCAGAAGGGAAACCCTCAGGTGTCTCACACCCAGCCGGAATTGGGGGGCCGCTGGTCCCTGGGGTACCGCGTCGGGGATGGGGGTCAGCAGCTCCTTCCCTGCGAGGGCGGCACTCTGCGTGCGCAGGGCCAAGAAGGGAAGGCGAGGCCGCCCGTGACGTGGAGCCCCGAGGCGGCACGAGCTGTGTCTTGTACACAGTGGGGTGGGTCGCATACCTAGTCCTCAGGGTCTAGGGGGCAGGACTCCGGAGCTGCGCTGTGCGGTGGGAAAGACCAGAAGCAGATGGTGAACAGGAGCGAAGACACACACGCATGCACAGAACAAAACGGCGCCGCCGCCCGCCCGAGACCGCGGGCCCGGCTCCTGCTGAGCTCACACGAGCCCTCGCCGCAGACACGGCCATTCCAGAACCCTCCCCGGCCGACACCGCTGCCTTCGGGGCGGCCTCCAGACTCTCGGGCTGCCGTCTGCTCTCCTGGGGCTACCCATGCGCCTGGGCTGCCCTTTCCCTACAGGGGACGCTGCCTCCGCTCACCCGGGCCAGGGGGCGAGCCCGGCCACAGAAAGGAACCCGGATGCTGGGGAGACTCCGGCCAGAAAACGGGGCTCAGAGGTTTAAACTCTCAGGGGGAGACAGGTAAAGGCGCTTCCCTTCAATTCCCGTTTGGGGGACCCAGAAATGGGTGAGTGAAGAGACCTCTAGAGGCGGATTTGGGGAGCACATTCAGGGCACCCCTTTCCTGAGGTTTCTGGTGTGTGTGTGTGTGTGTGTGAACTGGCTGTTTCCTCAGTCTCTACCGAGTGCCGCCTTCCCCAGGAGCCTCCTGGTCTGGGTCACCCACTCGCCTCCACAGGCATTTTCAGTTTCGTTAGCTACGCCCACGGTTGCCCGATGTGGCCATTCAAAACTGCAGTGTTTCTAGGACTGAACCCGTCATCTTCGCTCGTTCCCATCATCAACCTCCCAGAGGCTTTCGCTGAACGACCGCTGCCACCCCGTCCGGTCCCCTGGACCCGCCACTCCTTCGCTGGCCTCAGAATTCCCAACTGCTCACCCTGCCCCTTCCGCTTCGCTGCCCGCCCTTGGAGAGCAGAGCCTCTCCAACAACCAGGGAGCACCCTCCGCCCCCGGGCGTCCGGCCCGAGAACCCCGGAGGCTTCTTAGGGGACGAGAGGCTCAGAGACACAGGTGCCCTGTGGGCATCGCTCTGACGGGGACCTGTGTGGGCCTCGCCACCAGCTGGCTGCGCCTCCGGCCGAGCACCCGCAAGCATGGAGGGTGATGGGGACAGGGAGAGTGGGGTGCCCCCGGCTCTGCTTCTCATGGGCCCTCCTCGAGGGGAGCACCCTCTGCTTGGAGAGGGAAACAGAGACCAAGGGAAGCCGTCTGGAGCCCACAGGCCCGAGGAGCCCGGCCGGCCGGCCGGCGGGGAGGAACCTGGGGATCTCCATCGTGGGATGAAGTTTGACCTTAAGGCCGAGGCCCCTCCATCCCAGGGGACCTACCAAAGCGGGTACGCCTGTCACGAACCCCGCGGACACTTCCGGAGGGTTCCCCAGCACTCTGCTCCCCGCATGGTGCTCCCGGCCGGACCAGACTCCTGAGAGCCCCGGACCTCTGGCGAGGGGACAACGGACAGACACCTCAAGCGCTTACACCGAGTCCCTCTCCCAACAGACATCACAGCGCTTGGTTTGGTTCGCGTGTCTGGTCTCAGCCGTGACCCCACTTTAATCTCAGGTCCCCACAAGGAACCCCAGGGGTCCTTCCTCCCTTCCTTGTCTCACTTCCCTCCCCGACGCCGAGAGGGACTGAATGTTAACCAGCAGGCTGGCCGCAGGGTGAGGAAGAGGCGGAAGCAGAGGGAATACACTCGCATTTCCAGCAGCTTGGTTGGCTCCAACAACTCCCAGCAGCTCCCTCTGCCAACAAGTGGGGGGGAGGGGGGCCCTCAAGGGGAGCAGGAACCTAGACTCTCTCCCACGCACGCACGCACGCACGCCCAGTGAGCCGACACACAGCGGAGCGAGGGCAGAGATGCCATCTGCGGCCGGACCAACCCGCCCCAGGACCCTTGCACAGAAGCACCCCCTTTCTCTGGAACAGGAATGGATATATCCTCCCAAATAGTTTTTTTTTCTTGGAAAAATCCTAGTCTATGGAACACGGGCCCTTGCCGGTTAGGGATGGAACCGAAGCGGGAGGCGCTGGGATGCGCGCAGGCCCAGCAAGCGCGGGGGCGGGCGGCGTAGCCGGAGGACAGTGTTGGCACAGAGCGGACGTGAGCCTCCACACACAGCCTACAGGACACCAGAGAACCGAAAAAGACGCGGAAAACAAACGGACAGACAGAAGCGAGGTGGGGATGGGAGGCAGGAAGTGACGTCCAGCCCGGCCTGGGTCAGCCCTCGACCCAGGAGCCCGGGAAAGGCCGGAGGGCGCGCCTCCGAGGCCCCGCTGCCTGCGGCCCGACCGTGCGGACCGTGTCCTTCCCAGGCCGATGGAGCGTGGCAACCACAGGCGGCCGTGTGGCCCCAAAGCCGTGGCCACTTGGCGGAACGCGTAAAGCACTGGACCACGATGCCAGGGGGCTGCTCTGAGGCTGAAATGTCTCCATTTCAGGGGCCGGCGGAGCGATGATGGAGCACACGTGTGAGGGACAGCGTCTGCCGTAAAACCCGGAGGGCAAGTCTGACCGAGTCCTCGTGGGCAGGCCCGGGCTTTGGAGAAGCGGCTCGGGGAGCCCCCACGTGGGCACAGCGGGGGGAAGAGGGCAGCGCGGCTCCTCTGCAGGAAGTCGGCCTGGGTTCCCGGTAGCGTCGTGAGGAGGAGGAAGGGGCCCTGACAGCCCTGATGAAATGGAAGGTTAGGGCTCCAGGGGGCACGGCCACCCTCCAGCCCTGACCTCTCCTCTGGGATCCAGAGCTGATAAGTACAAGGCGCCTGGTCCCCCAAGCTCACGGTCATGGAGCCCCTCGCTCATCGAGAACACGCTGGTTTCACCTTCCTGCCGAGGAGCCACGGGTGCCCTTCGCAGGGGCTCTGGCTGCCTTCCACACCGCCTGTGGGGGACACAGGCCAGGCCGCCCACCATGGGATCTGCGAGATCGCGATGGAGGGGCCCGTCAGGAAGACGGGGAAGATGGGAAGGAGAGGGAGAGCTGCTCCCTCCTCCCGGCCTGACCTTCGCCCTCGGGGCACACACTTCCTTTCAGCAGCAGCTTCTGCAGGAGCGGCAGGGCAGGAGGTGGGCGCCCCGGGGTGAGAGCAGGGGTGTGAGCAGGGGAGCGACTCCCACCAAGTTCACGTTCAGCAGACTGCCACTCACCGGGTAAGCAGACCTCAGAGCACAGCTTATTGTCCAGTGCTTTCACGCTTGCGATGTCAAAGTCATTGTTATTGTCACACTCCATGCCTAGAAACGCGCACGTCCTCTGGCCTGTAAGGGAGTTCACGCAGTTAGACGGGCGCGCTGGATGCGTCTCTGCTCTGCTGTCCTGAACATAAACATCTTAAGGATGGAGACAAACAAACCGAATCATGTGTTTAAAAAAAAAAAAAAAGACAGTAATTAAGTGGGTAAAGAGTGGACAATAAGGAATGTAACTGTGTGTGCATGTTCGCGTTCTCAACCTAGCCTGCCCTTTCCCTCACTGGCCCCTTTCCAGCCATTGTTCCGCAGGAGCCGGAGCCTGGGGGAGGAGGGCTGCTGACAGCCGGGAGCTCTGCCAGGGGCGGGAGGAGCTGGGGACCCGCCCGCAGAGCTGCCCTACTCCTGCCTGTGTCTGTGGGTGCTGTCGGGTGTGCTTGTGACCACAGGGCTCTGCAAATGCTAAATACCAGAACAATCGCAGGTCTCGCAGGTTCCCTAAGTTTGCATGTCAAGTCAGAATCGCCACATGCACCAAGTTAGGATCCATCTTCTTATGGGACTTTATGGGATAAAATCTGTTATCTTGAGGACGTTTTAAGGGGACTGGCCAGAAACCTACGGACATGTGAGCGGGGAGGGTAGAGTTTTAGCAGTTATTTTTTTCAAGCTCCCTCTTTCTTTCTTTTTTTAATATTTTATTGATTTTTTACAGAGAGGAGGGGAGAGGGATAGAGAGAAACATCGATGAGAGAGAAACATCAATCAGCTGCCTCCTGCAGGCCCCCTACTGGGGATGTGCCCGCAACCAAGGTACATGCCCTTGACGGGAATCAAACCTGGGACTCTTGAGTCCGCAGGCCAATGCTCTATCCACTGAGCCAAACCGGTCAGGGCTAGCTCCTTCTTTCTATTTTATTTTATTTCCTGCTGAAAGGGAAAGGAAGACACATAGACCCATCATGGGCTACACGACGTCAAGGGAGAAGCACCTGCGGCCTGAGCTTGTCGGAAGCAGATATTCGGGGGGTTGGGGACAGTCCCAAAGGGAGCCGTGAGCACTGAGGTCATGGGCCTCGTTGTGCAGAGGACGGCGGAGGCCCCGCCTGGCGGCCATCCCCTCCTTCAGGGCGACTTGGCCAGGCAGAGTGGCCAAGTCCGCATGCGCACCCTGAACTCCCCAAGCAACGGCCAGCGCTGAAGCAGAAGCGATGAGGGTGGCGTCTGCACCCCGCGGGTCGGGTCTGCTTTGGAGGTGTCCTTCTGCGGAGGCGCCTCAGAGCAGAGGGGAGAGCTGGGTTCCATCTCCTGGGGGGCCAGGCCCAGCCCCACCCCCTCTCCTCACTCCCTTCTCTGCAGGCCACCCCTCCTCTGGTCCGCACTAGAAACCACAGCGCTCCACGCTCCACCGGAGGGCGTCCTGGAGGCCTGAGAAAACCATTCCGGCGGCTACGGACCCGCCTGCCCTGTGCTGCTGGCTCCTGGGATCCCTGTCCCGGCCACGCCAGCCTCCTCCTTCGCTACAGCAAAACCAAACCTGCAGCCTGAGTCCTTTCTCCCACGCGGAGGAGACAGCATCGCCGCTGCTGCACTCAGGGCGCTGAGAGCTCTGGGGGACCTGGCTGGGGGCCGGAGCAGGAAGGCAGGCGGTGGGAGCTGCCCGAGAAGCTTCGGAATGTGTTCCACGTAAAGGGGGAGCCGTCCTCTGCTGCACCCCCCTCCCGAGCGAGCCGGGCGGGCACTGCGGTCCTCGGACAGCCCATCCCATCAGCAAGGTGACCTTCCCCGGGGCACACGCTGAGGAGTGCCACCCGCTCACGCCAGGGCCCCCTCTGCGCCCGTGAAAGAACACCCGGGGAAGGACAGCTGAGAGGGAGCCAAGAGCAGGTCGATTACCGTCTTCCTGTGTGGGGGACCCATCGTCTTCCTCCATGACGTCATTGCCCTACAACAGAGGAAGGCGCTTGAGGCTTCGGAGCATAGCGGGAGCGCAGTGGGCCTGGAACAGCGCGGGTCGGGGTGCCGGCCACGTCTCCGCCGGCCTCTGCCCACAGGGCTCCCCACTGCAGACCCGAAAGACAGCCGATTCCAGGACAAGGCGGCCCGAACTGTGCTGTGTAAGGGCCAACTGCACACTCATGGGCTGGAGCCCGAACTAGTGACCCTCACGGGTTTAACTCCAGGGCCGGCAGCGGCGGCGGCAGCGTAGGAGTTGGAGGTGCCCAGGAGGCCAGGCAGGGGCCGGCCGGCTTGGGGAGGGACTGGTCTGGGGCGTGTTCGGATGCAGCTGGACAAGCCGGCAATAGCCTTGGTGCTGGGTTAGCTTGTCTGCTTTCTAAGGTGGAAAGAGATGTCTGAGGAAACAGCGCTGAGACCCCAGCCTCACAGAAACCCCTTCTGATCTCAAACCCTATCCAGACTCTCCTCTGAGAATATATGGCTCAAGAAGAAGTTCTAGAGCAGTGGTTCTCAACCTTCTGGCCCTTTAAATGCAGTTCCTCATGTTGTGACCCAACCATAAAATTATTTTCGTTGCTACTTCATAACTGTAATGTTGCTACTGTTATGAATCGTCATGTAAATATCTGATCTGCAGGATGGTCTTAGGCGACCCCTGTGAAAGGGTCGTTCGACCGCCAAAGGGGTCGCGACCCACAGGTTGAGAACCGCTGATCTAGAGGAAAAAAGGGAAGTTCTAGAGCCGCCCTGTGACACCTTGGTCAAGGCACTTCTCACACTGGATTGTCGCCCATCTCCCCGCCTGGGGGTACAGAAGGTGGGGGGCAGGCAGAAGCCAGGCCACTCGGGCCTTCATGGCCCCCAGGCCGGCCAGCACCCGCGACCCAGTCACCTGTGTAATAGTCACTAAGTGAATGAGGGACAAACAGGTGCTCAAAGCCTACTCCGTGCCTGTAACCCGAGGCCAGTGCCCTCTGCTAACTGGACACCCTCCGCCCCCTAGTGCAGCTGCTGTCCCTTCCCAGCACGCCTGACCCGAACGCCACCTGGGAGGATTGTTCCAGAACAGCGCCCCTCCCGTCTGCGTCCCCAGCCAGCACCAGGGCTCTCTGACCTCTGGCCGGGAGGGGCACCACGTCCCCGTGGGGGTTACCTCTGCGTCCTGCTCGTCAGCGAGGCCCATGAAGTTGCTGTCTGGAGACGCTGCCGGCATCGCCTGCAAGAGTAACAGGAATGGAGGTGCGGACATGCCAGCTCTGGGGGCAGCCAGCTCACCCGCCTCGCAACAAACCCCAACCATGTCCTCGCGACAGAAGTGGTGCCAAGCAGCCCTGGCTGGTTTGGCTCAGTGGATAGAGCATCGGCCTGTGGACCAAAGGGTCCCGGGTTCGATTCTGGTCAAGGGCACGTACTTCGGTTGCAGGCTCCTCCCCAGCCCTGGCCCTGTCAGGGCGTGTGCAGGAGGCAACCAATCGATGTGTTTCTCTCGCATCGATGTTTCTCTCTGTCTTTCCCTCTCTCTCCCACTCTCTAAAAATCAATGGAAAAATATCTTTGGGTGAAGATTAACAAAACAAAAAAAGTGGTGCCGCGCAGAGTCAGGCCTGAGCGGGGAGCCCTGGGTTCTATTCCCCCATTTCCCTGGCTCCCCTTCCCAGCACGGATGGGGCTCGGATATGTGGCACGGAGAGGCCCCGTGCCCTGCCCTTACCTCTCCTTCCTCGGAAGCGGCCCTGCTGGCGGCCAGCGGGGAGGGGAGCGCCTCTCCCTCGTCCTCCGTGCCTGTGCCCGTGCCGGGGGCGATGTAGGAGCCGGACATGGAGGAGACCGTGTCGGTGCTGAGCTGGGAGTGCTGGCTCTGGGAGGACACCATGGACATGACCGACTGGGCCAGGCTGCTGCTGGCAGGGTCTGTGGAGACGGGAGGTGGAGGAGGAGACGGGTCAGCATGGGCTCTGGGGCTGAGAAGGAGCCGAGCTCTGCCCCTGCCCCGCTCAGCGAGGCCATAGTGGCCTGGCCTCCCCCTCACCGAAGGGGTTTTAGATGGAAGGTTTTCTTTTTTATCCTTTTTAAAAAATATTTTTATTGGTTTCAGGGAGGAAGGGAGAGAGAGAGAGAGAGACAGAGAGCGAGAAGCATCAATGATGAGAGAGAATCACTGACCAGCTGCCTCCTGCACATCCCCCACTGGGCTTGAGCCCACAACCCGGGCCTGTGCCCTGACGGGGAATGGAGCCGTGACCTCCTGGTTCATAGGCCCACGCTCACCACTGAGCCACGCGGCCGGGCCGGACTGAAGGTTTTCCAGGGCTCTGCTCCTTCGCATTCAGAGCTCAGAACTCACTCGGGACCAGGGACTTGCAGGACTGGGGGTAAGACAGTGCTTGTCCCCCAGCTCGCCCCGGGGACAGCCAGTCCCTTCCCCCTCCAGTGGGGCCTGCTGGTCACCAGCTTAGGTGTTAACTTGCTGCCCAGGGTCTGTCTGCTCCGGAGGAAACACAGGGCTGAGGACTGGGCTGGGGGGGAGGTGCCGCCCTCCCCGCTCCCTCGCCCTCCCCACTCCCTCGCGTACCTTCTGGGGAGGAAATTGTGGAAGAGAGAGGCGTCCCCGTGCAAGACGACTGGTCAATGGCCCCTGATGACGACAGGGTGAGATTCTCGCTGTCTGGAGTGACGCCACATTCCTGGGCAACAACGGAGGGAGCGCAAGTCAAACACGGCGAGGGCAGGAGGAAGGGCGAGGGGACACGGGGAGGGGCCGAGGTCCCCACGCCACGGCCAGGACATCAGGACTTGCAGGGCCGTCTCTCTCTTGTCACCACCGTCTCCAGCCCTGGCCCGGATGCTGCTCCCAGGGGAGGTGCAGGCCTCAGTCAGCTCATCCTCCCGCAGCACAGCATCTGCCGGGCCCACAAAGACGGGGCTCAGGTGACAGAGGCCGCCGGCAGCTGTGACACGGGGACGCCCAGGTTCCCGGGATGAGAAGCAGCTTTCCTTGAGGCCGCCCGCCCACCCGCCGGGCCCCCGCTCGGATGTATGTCGCGTTAGTTCCAGCTCAGTCGCCTCACACAGCAGCCCCTCCCCCGCCCGCCCTGCCCTGCCACCCCACCGTCCGCCAGCTGGGCCAGCGCCCCCAGCGCCCCCGCAGGTGCCAAGTCCTAGGGGTTCTAGCTCCACAGCCCATTCTCTTTTCTCCGGGCCGGCGTGCTTTTTTTTTTCCAAATGATAGGAGGGAGTTTATTTAGAAAGTTACAGAGGTAGTTCAGGCGAGCCAGCGGGGCTTCGTAGGCGCAGGACACGGTGACGGACGCAGAGGAGGGCCCTTGGACGGGAAGGGGAAAGGCCACGGTGAGGTACCAGGGGAAGAAGAGGGGATGGGAAAGGCGCAGGCATGCCCCCCCCGAGGGAGCAGGAGGGAGAATGTCTTTTTTTAAAAAATATATTTTTATTGATTTTAGGGAGGAAGGGAGTGAGAGATAGAAACATCAATGATGAGGATCATTGATCGGCTGCCTCCTGCACGCCCCCTACTGGGGATCGAGCCCACAACCTGGGCACGTGTCCTGACCAGGAATCGAACTGTGACCTCCTGGTTCATAGGTCGATGCTCAGCCACTGAGCCACGCCGGCCGGGCCCAGCGTGCTTTTGTGATCCCAACTCTGGGCTCCCTCCCACCCAGGCTCAGTCTGTCTCCCCTAATCCATCGACTCTGCCCCAGCAGGTGGGCCTTCAGGACACAAAGCTCTCACGGAACCACTGACCTGCTCAGAACCTGGACGTCGCCCCATCCCCAGCATCTCTCTCCCTTTTCTCCATTTCTAAGAATCCCCACGTCTAGCTCCACGCCCGTCCTCTCTCGCACTCATGGTTTTCTTCACGCGCCATCTCTCCCACCTCTGGCCCAGTGCTGACGGTCCCTGCCTTGGGCACACTTGTCTCCTATCGTTAAATTAATTGATTCATGCATTCATTCAAACAACACTTAACTGAGCAAGGACTCTGTGCCAGCCACTGCACATGTCCTGTCCCCACTAGTCCTCAAGCTCCTGAGGGTGGGACCCCGCTGTCATCTCCGCCTGCTCCCGGGCCCAGCTCACAGCCTTGCCGAGATGGGGTGCAATGCGCCTGTGTTACCTAGAGCCTGTGAGGGGGGCACAGGCAGGAAACCCCACCTCCTTCCCTCCATCACACGTCCTCCCAGCGTGTCCTGTGCCCACACCCTTTCCCCGGATGCATGCATCGCTGGCTCTCACGCCTCCCTCGGTCTGTGTTCACGGGCCACTCCGTAAAGACAGCAACCCCACCTCTGGCCTCCTCTGCCACAGCGAACACAGCGCCCTCTGACACACGTTTTTCACTTACTGCCTTTCGGGCCACCCCCACCCCACCATCAAGAACATAAGCGCCACCAGGCAGGGTTTGGTGGTCTCCTCCCTGCTGCTGTCCTCGGCAGACAGAACAGTGACAGGTAAGTAACAGGCTCATGAATAAATGAATTGAACGAAACCTCTGCCTCTGTCTCAGAGAGGGTTCAAAAGGTGTTTGGCGGCCTGGCCAGTGCGGCTCAGTGGTTGAGGGTCTACCTATGAACCAGGGGGTCACAGTTCGATTCCCGGTCAGGGCACGTGCCTGGGTTGCGGGCTCGATCCCCAGTGTGGAGCGTGCAGGAGGCAGCCGATCCATGATTCTCTCTCATCATTGATGTTTCCATCTCTCTCCTCTCCTCCTCTCCTCTCTGACATCAATAAAAACATATTTATAAAAATTTAAAAAAGGTGTTGACGAATGAATGACAGCAGGTGGACCTGACCGGGAATCCGACACGCACTGGAGTCCGACCCCCACGAAAGGGAGGGCGGTGCAGGCTACCTCTCCCGGCTGCTGCGGGGCCGGCCGCGGAGAGAGGCGCGTCTCCGAGTCGCTGCAGGAATGCTCGTCTTCCTCCTCGTGCAGCACGGAGGAATTCTGGGAGATGGACCTGTCGGAGGGAACAGCAGCTGGGCCGCTGGTCGCATGAAGAACCGCACGTTCCCACCAGACCCCGCAGGAAGGGCGGACCGCGCGGAGCACCCCAAACCCTAAGGCGCGGGGAGGTGGGCAGAGCACCGGGAGGGACGGAGCCCGCTCGTGGGCATCAGAACACCTGAGTTTTCTCTTCAGCTTCTTCCATAACTTGTGTGTAAACTTGGGAAAAATCACTGACATTTCTGCTGTCTTAATATTTTCATCTATAACAGGGGTGGGGAACGTCCGGCCCGCGGGCCGTGCCCTTGAAGACCTGTGGAATCATTTGGTCTGGCCCCGCCAAGGCAGTAGGAGTGAGTTAATTAAATGTTTGACCAGATACAGCAGCTGATTTTTAATTTTGCATGGCCTGAGAATGATGCTATAAACATCCAATGGCCCCTGGCAGGGAAAAGGTTCCCCACCCCTGGTGTATAAGCCGCCTTCCTTGATGCTACGGCAGAAAGCTTATCAGTCTGGGCCTCGTTGGGTTTAAATGCCTAAAAGATACAAATCCCAAGGTTGCTTTAGTCTTCAGACTAAATCAGTGATGGCGAACCTCTGACACGCGTGTCAGAGGTGACACGCGAACTCATTTTTTTGGTTGATTTTTCATTGTTAAATGGCATTTAAATATATAAAATAAATATCAAAAATATGTCTGTGTTTCACTATGGTTGCAAATATCAAAAAATTTCTCTATGTGACACAGCACCAGAGTTAAGTTAGGGTTTTTCAAAATGCTGATACGCCGAGCTCAAAAGGTTCTCCATCACTGGACTAAATGATGCACTGGACCCCATCCCCCCCCCCTAACAGAACGCCGAATAGATTTGTCTACCTGGTCCCCCTACGTCCGCGCCTGCCATCTTACCTTCCTCTCCTAAGGGCCGGGGTAAGCTCCCCCAGGGATCAGCCCCAGGTCTTCCGGGAGACGAGACGCTCTGGGAACGGCCCAGCGGGCCCCCCCTGCCTGGGCACCCAGGTGGGGAGCGGCGCTGAGGTGGGGGATGGCTGGGAGCACCCCGCCAAGGACCCCGGGCCCACACGGGCGGGCGCGTGCGGGCGACTCACTTGGAGAAACTCCTTTTGAGCTTGAGTCCTTGGCTGCTGCCGTCGGGCAGGCGGTCGAGCGGGGAGAGCGTCCTGACGGGGGGCAGGTGGCCGTCGCTGCCGTAGGCGGGCAGCATTCCTGAGAGGTGGCCGTCGCCCAGCACGTGGAGTGGAGGGACCGCGGGGGATGGGGTGAGGGGCCCGTTGAGGGCCTCCAGAAGGGACACCACTTCATAGCCCGGCGGGATGTTCTCGGAGGACTAGGGGGATCAGACGGGTGGGAGAGTTCATTAGCCAGACCGCGTGGCTCAGGCCAGAGGTCCCGGTCCGATTCCCGGCCAGGGCACACGCCCGGGCTGCAGGTTCAAGCCCCGGTTGGGGTGTGTTGGTTGGGATGTGTTGCGGAGGCGACCAATCGATGTTCTCTCTCACATCGATGTCTGTCTGTCTGTCTCTCTCTAAAATCAATAAACATATCCTCGGGTCAGGATTAAAAAAAAAAAAGTAGAAAGGAGGGGGGCAAACCATCAATAATCAAGTCACCCAAAGTGATAATTTTATTAGCATTCTGTGTATTTTCTTCCCATTTTCCCCTCTGTCCTGTTTGCACAGCTACAACCTATCTGTGAATAACAACTTTATATCCTGCGTACGCCACCTGACACAGATGTTTTCCGTCACACGCGTCCCCTTCTCACCGACACCGCCAGCTCTGGTCCCGCCGGGGCTGGCTGCTCAGCCGTGTCGGCATTTCCGACTGTGAACGTCTGAGGATGTCCTAGTGCGTGAATCTTTTTTCAGGTGATTTTCTTGGTATTAAATTCTTAGGCCCTAGATTACCTCGTACGATTGTGTGTAAGGCTCTTGACATACACAGCCTTTTAAAAAAGTTTTTTTTCAACGATTTTTCTAGTTTCACTCCTCAAAGCAGAACAGAAAACCTACTTAGTTCTGCCAGCCTGGAGTGTCTTTAAAGAGGTTTTTTTAATTTGAAAGGTGAAAACGGTGTCTCCCATTAATTTGCGTATTGCTGGTTTTTAATGTGGCCGACGCCGAAAGCAATGACTGCTAACCTGCAGTGCTTCCTCTTCTGAGAACTGTGTTTTGAAACCCTTTGAACATTTTTATCTGTTTTACTCACAGGAGCTACCGCCGGACACGGGCTTTCCTCCGGTGTAAATGTCGTGAAGACATTTTTTTTTCTTTAAATGGGTGGTTGTTTGCCTTTCAATTCTGGTCATGTGTTAATCATCTGAAATTCAAAAAAATTTTTTAAAGCTCCTATGTTTTGTTTTTATTGTTTTTGTTTTTAGAGAAAGAGGCAGGGAGAAGGAGAGAGAAGCACTGATGGGCTGCCTCCTGCACGCCCCCCATTGGGGACTGAGCCCACAACCTGGGCATGAGCCCCGACCGGGAATTGAATCGGTGACCTTTCGGTGTCTGGGTCGACGCGCAGCCACGGAGCCGCATCAGCCGGCTGAAATTTAAATTTGTTACGTGGTAAGACGTGCACCGTCTTTGTCTGTCCTGTTCCCCTTTAAGCTGAGCCAGCCCCCTCCCGTCCAAAGGCCACCGGAGAGTCGCCGGTAATGCGTTCCAGCCCTTTAACGTTCCGCTTGGGTTGCTGTGTTTGCAGCACCGCTCACTATGACGCCAGGAGCCGTCTGTGCTCCGTAAGGAGTGAAGCTACACTGGTTTTCCTCCCCGACAGCGAAGCCGTTATCGCCGTGCCGCTCACTGGATGGGACGGCTAGCGTGGGAATCTAAAGGAAGTCGGTACCTGCTGCGAGGCTTCACCCCGACACCGTGCCTCGCACCCCGAAACGGAGAGGGTTACCTTCATACGCTCGGCTCCCAGCCCCGGACCCCACCAAAAGGGATAAACAAAACCAGTGACCGCCCGGCCAGTGTGGCTCAGTGGTTGAGCACTGACTTATGAATCAGGAGGTTACGGTTTGATTCCCGATCAGGAAACTCGATCCCCAGTGTGAGGTGTGCAGGAGGCAACTGATCAATGATTCTCTCTCATCATTGATGTTTCTATCTCTCTCCCTCTCCCTTCTTCTCTGAAATCAATAAAAAATACATTTTATTTTATTTTTTTTATTTAAATATATTTTATTGATTTTTTTTATAGAGAGGAAGGGAGAGAGATAGAGAGTCAGAAGCATTGATGAGAGAGAAACATAGATCAGCTGCCTCCTGCACACCCCCCACTGGGGATGTGCCCGCAACTAAGGTACATGCCCTTGACCGGAATCGAACCCGGGACCCTTCAGTCCGAAGGCCAACACTCTATCCACTGAGCCAAACCGGTCAGGGCAATAAAAATATATTTTAAAAAAACCAGAAAAATAAAAAACCAGTTACCTCCTGCGAGGTCTCAGATAATGACAGTAAACTGTATCCCAACCTAAGACGACCACCCCCTTGCTTCTGCTTGGGGGAGTCCCGGAGAAAGTGGGGCCCACAGGGGGGAAGTGGGGGAGGCTCTAGGCATGGCCACCATCAGGACACCAAATCCCCAACCTTATACTACAGGCTGGTCTCAGGCAACAGGGGCTCACCCAGCTTACTGCCCCCACCCCCGCAAAGGCACGGAAATGAGGGGCCCAGGGCGAGAGGAGGCAGCGAGGAGACCTCGCTGTCGGCTTCACGGGCGCGGTTCTGAGCCCAACTCACCGAGGGCTCCTCCGAGTCGGAGGTCTGGGAGGAGATGATGGGGTTGAAGCTGGTCGGGGACAAGGGGCCCAGCTTCTTCCTCATGGCTCGGATCTGCAGCAGCGCCCGGAAGGCTGCGGAGGAGGAGAGGGGCCGTCAGGCCTCGTGGGTGCGGGGGTGGGACAGACACCGCCACCCCTGCCCCGCGGCCGCCCCGCCCGGACCCGCGGGGCTTACGCAGGCGGCAGATGGGGCAGTTGCTGGCCTGGTAGCGCAGGGTGTCGGCGCAGGTGTTGCACAGGCAGAGGTGGCGGCAGGGCAGGATCAGGGTGTCCCGCACGTCCGAGAGGCACACCACGCACTCGGCGCTGTTGTCACTCACCTCGTCCTCAGCCACCTGCCGGGGAGCGGACACTGAGCCAAGGACAGAGACGCACAAGGGATGGGAACAGTCCGGCCGGCGCAGCTCAGGGGCTGAGCATCGACCCATGAACCTGGAGGTCAGGGCACAGGCCCGGGTTGCGGGCTCGATCCCCAGCGGGGGGCGTGCAGGAGGCAGCCGGTCCATGATTCTCTCATCATTGATGTTCCTCTCTCCCTCTCCCTTCCTCTCTGAAATCAATAAAAATATATACATTTTTAAAAAGGAACAGGAACAGAAGCTTACACTTACACCGGACTTCACAGTTTACCCAGTGCGTCCACACACTCGGTGTCACTGACCCCGGGAGCTTCTCTCCAGCTCACACTGTGAGGCTGACCTGCCTCTGACCGGCTGGGCGGTGGGGCCGAGCAGACCCCACGGGGAAAAAGACGGGTTTAATGATCAGCGTCCAGAAAGCCCAGCCGGCTAAGGGGGGTGGGGGTGGGGGTCTCAGAGACTAACCCAGAGCGATTTAAGGACAGTCATCTGAAACGAGGGGCGGGAAACACCCTCTGGGCCCGAACTGGCTTCGAGCGCGGGCCTGGCTTCCCGGTCCCGGTTGCCCGGGGCTCCTCGCTGCCCCTCGGGAGGACAGGCAGCGGGCCGGGCGGCACTCGCCTTGGCATCCTGCGTGTTGTACTTGTTCTCGATCCCGTAGATCTCCTGGAGCAGGTAGCTGACCCCGTCCACCTGCACAGCAAACAGAGAGTTCCAGGGCAGGCTGACACTCGCACAGAGAGGCGCGGCCACACACGCCCCGCCTCGGCGACAGGCTGAGGGCCGCGGGTTCACGGCGGGACGACCGAAGGCCGGGACAAGCAGAGGATGCTTTTCTCCACGGCGGCTCTCTTGCTGAGAAGCAGAACCAGCTGTTTGATTTCCCCCCCAACAGGGACACGCATGCTCAGACTGGCATGCTCCTGCCCTCCCCGCACCATCGCCCACGGCGAAGAAAGGGGAGACTAGAACGGGGCGGGAGAAGATGCAGCACAAGTGACCTCAGCTACGAAATAAACGTGAGGTCCACACGTCGCAGGGAGAAAGGAGTGGGAGAGAAAGACAGAGGAGAAGTGGGTAAGGGAAAGGGGGCGGGGAAGACGCAGAGGGGAGGCATTGGAGGGGAGGCCGACTGAGCCCCTCCCTCGCCACGGAGCTGCCGTCTCCAACATGCAGCAAAGTCACCCTCTAGCCAGCGATGGCGAACCTTCTGAGCTCGGCGTGTCAGCATTTTGAAAATCCCTAACTTAACTCTGGTGCCGTGTCACATATAGAAATGTTTTGATATTTGCAACCATAGTAAAACAAAGATTTGTATTTTTTTAAAAAATATATTTTATTGATTTTTTACAGAGAGGAAGGGAGAGGGATAGAGAGTTAGAAACATCGATGAGAGAGAGACATCGACCAGCTGCCTCCTGCACACTCCCTACTGGGGATGTGCCCGCAACCCAGGTACATGCCCTTGACTGGAATCGAACCTGGGACCTTTCCGTCCTCAGGCCGATGCTCTATCCACTGAACCAAACCGGTTACGGCAAGATTTGTATTTTTGATATTTATTTTATATATTTAAATGCCATTTAATAAAGAAAAATCAACCAAAAAAAATGAGTGTCATAGGTTCCCCATCACTACTCTAGTCCTTGTTTCTTTTCTTTTTTTAAAATGTATTTTTTATTGATTTCAGAGAGGAAGGGAGAGTGAGAGAGAGATAGAAACATCAATGATGAGAGAGAATCATGGATCAGCTGCCTCCTGCATGCCCCCTACTGGGGATTGAGCTCACAACCCGGGCATGTGCCCTTGACCAGAATCGAACCTGGGCCCCTTCAGTCCGCAGGCCGACGCTCTATCCACTGAGCCAAACCGGCCAGGGCAGCCCCCGTTTCTTAAAACTCCAACTTCAACACCCAGGCTCACTCCCACGAGTCTGGGCCCCAGCAGTGCTGAGGCTGGCCCGTCCCTGGCTTCCTTAATCCAGGCCCCGCCCCTCGGCCTGGCCTCTGAATTCATCCCCTGAGACCTGGCCTGTCACTGATGTCATATCCCACCCGCCAGTCTGACAAAGTCTGTCACTAATGCGACTGTAGCTACGGAAAGCCGTTTTCCTCGAGCTTCCCCAGCCAGCCAGCCAGCCAATCCAGGCAGTACCTCCTCCACCTCTCCTACAGCCTCTCTTAAACCCGGCGTGGCTCAGTGGTTGAGCACTGACCTATGAACCAGGAGGTCACGGTTCGATTCCCGGTCAGGGCACGTGCCCGATTGACCAATGATTCTCATCACTGACCTTTCTCTCTCCCCCTCTCCCTTCCTCTCTGAAATCGATAAAAAAATATTAAAAACCTGTTCCAACTCAGTGATTATGTTAGAAAGGACATATCAACTACTTTACACCACGGTATTATGATTAGTGATCTCACTAAGAGGGGAGAGCACTTAACCCCCCAAAATGAATAATGCGGCATTTCAGATACCATCCCCCGTGGGCGGGGCTGCCGGTGCCCCGGGCACCACTCCCCGCTCCTCACCCTCCATGGCTCTCCTCCTACTTCTGCAAGAGGGACCGGGTGGCACTCAGCTGGGGCCAGGACGTCTAGCGGACACGTGGGTAACGGCCGGTCATTCTGGAAGGGGGCAGCTGGCTAGCGAGCTTGGGGTTTTAGAAAAGCACTGGTGGGGCCCCAGCCGGTGTGGCTCAGTGGCTAGAGCGTCAGCCTGCGGGCGGAAGGGTCCCAGGTTCGATTCTGGTCAAGGGCACATGCCCGGGTTGTGGGCTCGATCCCCTTTGGGGGTCAGGAGACACCAGGTCAATGATTCTCTCTCATCATGGATGTGTGTGTCTCTCTCCCTCTCCTTTCCTCTCTGAAACCAATAAAAATATATCTAAAAAAGCAAAGCGCTGGTGGGATCCGTGGAGCCAAGCGCTATGACTGGCCCTGGACGGGACCACAGCACTCAATCCTTCAGCCGACGCGCGTCAGGCCTGGCATTTCGGATGAAAGGACGCCTCCCTGAACCTAATGTCGGGAGACAAATCTCGTCCTTTCACTGCTCACGCCCTTCGCTCAGATCCCGGCTGCGCAGCGCCAACAGTTCCGGGGCAGTAACGACAGCAGAGCCCAGGTCCTTTCAGGCCACCCACGTAGCTTCCAACCCACAGGAGCACACCCTCCTTTTCCCCTTTGATTTAAAAAGGGGGGGAGGAAAGAAGAGTGCTTAGCAAAAGAACAAAAAAGAGGGGAGGGGGGAAGAGCTGGCGTGACTCAGTGGCTGAGCATCGACCTATGAACCAGGAGGTCATAGTTCAATTCCTCGTTAGGACACCTGCTCGGGCTGTGGGCTCGATCCCCAGCGGGGGGGCCTGCAGGAGGCAGCCAGTCAATGATTCCCTCTCATCACTGATGTTTCTATCTCTCTCCCCCTCTCCCTTCCCCTCTGAAATCAATAAAATTATATTTAAAAAAGAGAGAGAAAGAAAGAAAGAGAGAGAGAAGAGAGGAGAGGGGACGCCAGCAGCCCGCCCTCAGGACTCACCACTTGCTTCTGCTTCAGGGGCTTGACACAGAAGGTCCCGTCCGTGTGCTGCAAGGAGAACAGGGCAGTGATGACCAGGGCGCAGGCCAGGCAGCCCCGTGTTCACTGCGACTTCTCTCAGCTGCACGTGGCCTGGGGGCCCCGCCGCGGGGACTGCAGGCTCCCAGGGCGGGCAGGGCCTTTCCAGGTCTGGTCTGACCCTTCCCTTTGGAGGAGAGGAAAGGAGGCCTCGGGGTGGAAGGTCAGGCACAAGTTGGTGGCAGAGCTCGGCCCTGTGCAGCCCCCAGTGTGGTGATCTCCCCACCTCCCCAGCCCCACCTGCTGGGCCAGCGCCACCTGCTGAGCTCAGGCAGCCGGGACCAGGCTGCCCGTCCTCCCGGGAGAGCTGAACCTGTGAGGTGAGGCCCTGGAAAGCCACTCACTCACCTTCTCGAAAGTGCCCAGCAGCACGTGGCAGTGGCCGAAATACTCTGGAAGAAACGAAGGCACAGGATGGAGAAGCAAACCAAGCGACGCACCCGCCGCAGCCGGTCGGCCCTCCCCGACTCCCCGCGGCTCACGCCGTCACGACGGGCGCGTTATGGAACCCGGTGCTCCTGTCAGCCTCAGGCCTCGGGAACAGGAGTGGGGAGGGGGTGCAGACACTGCCTGACACCCACGGAGGCCTTGGGCCACCCACGGGCAGTGTGTCGGCAAAAGAAGACACGGGGCGTCCATACCGTCTCCTTCGTCCACCACCGCATGGACCACCAGCGGGTAGACCTCTCGGTCCAGATCGAAGCCGAGCTGGCGGGAAAGCAGAGGGAGGAAGAACAAAGGGAGCTCATGTTGCCATGGCGCAGGGCCCGGCGGAAAGGCGGGCGTGGCCAAGGACCGCATCTCTGCGGGCGGCGGGGCTCGGGGTGAGCACCGACCTAGGAACCAGCAGGTCACGGCTCGATTCCAGGTCGGGGCACACGCCCAGGTTGTGGGCTGGATCCCTAGTGGGGGGGCGTACAGGAGGCAGCTGATCAATGATTCTCTCTCATCATTGATGTTTCTCTCTCTCTCTCCCTCTCTGAAATCAGTCAATCTATCTATCTATCTATCTATCTATCTATCTATCTATCTATCTATCTATCTATCTATCAAATAGGCTCCCAGGGTGGGTAGGGCCTTTTTAGATTCTATATGAACACACACACACACACACACACACACACACACACACACATTTTAAATGAACCTCATCTCTGCTCCTCCACAACCTCGTCACTACCCATGTCCCTTTGAGGGACGGCCACCAGTTTCTCTTTAAAATCTCCCGGAGGCACAGGCTTGTAGCCTCCCGGTTCTTTTCTCTGAGCTCGGACTTCTGGAAGTGCCCCGGGCTAACGGGCTAGTTTGGAAGAGGAGTTTCGAGGTTGGGCGCATCCTTTCGGGTGTGAAGGCGTTACAAGGCGAAGGTGAGCATGGCCTCTGAGCGCCTGGCAGGCAGTTCCTTTGCTGCTGGCCGTGGTCCTAACGAGCTCCCGGGCCCATCCAGGCCCCGTGGGGAGCCTGCCCCGCGTCCTCTCCCCCCCGGGGCGGCTCACCTCCTCTTCGGCCCACGCGGAGGGGTCCACGGTGTGGGAGGGCAGGCAGAACTGCTGGCACACCCCGCGCTTGTAGTGCACCGTCTCCGACTGCAGGCTGTTGTCTTTGGGGATGTAGCTATCGACCCAAGTCGGGAGCAAAGCAAGAGTCAGTGTGGCCCAGGGGCCCTGCCGTTTCCTCCCTCACGCCTGCGCTCGGCCACCCACAGGCGCCGGGAATGACACCGACGGACCAGCCTCCTGTCACCTACGTCCTCGGCTCGGCTGGGGAATGCGATTAAGCTCGTCTATGCAGCCCCCGGCCACCAGGGTCGCCTCACAGGGTTCCAACAGCATCTTAACGACCCGGAGGCCCCGCTGCCACCTGCCACGGCAGCCACATGGCGCAACTTAAAGGGAAACGGGCAGAGTGGGGTCTCTGTGCCCGGCCAGCGTGGCCCAGTGGGTGAGCATCAGCCTATGGACCAGGAGGTCACGGTCCGATTCCCAGTCAGGCAGGGCACACGTCCCGGTTGCACTTCGATCCCCAATAGTGGGCAAGCAGGAGGCAGCCGACCAATGGTTCTCTCTCGTCAGTGATGTTTCTCTCTCTCTCTCCCTTTCCTTCCTCTCCAAAAAATATTTTTTTTAAAAAAAGAAGTAGAGCCCAGCCGGTTTGGCTCAGTGGATAAGAGCGTCCGCCTACAGACTGAAGGGTCCCAGGTTTGATTCCGACCAAGGGCACATGCCTAGGTTGCGGGTTCGATCCCCAGTAGGGGGTGTGCAGGAGGCAGCTGATCAATGATTCTCTCTCATCATTGAAGTTTCTATCGCTCTATCCCTCTCCCTTCCTCTCTAAAAATCAATTAAAAAATATATATATATATATTTTTTTTTTAAAAAAGAAGAAGTAGGGTCTGCAGAAGAAAGTCCACGTTCAAGAGCCAGATCTCGCCTGTGAGCGCATGAGGCATGGGCCCTGAGCTGGCCGGGGAGGAGGCGGCTCCCCGGTCCCGTCCGTACCTGGCGATGCCGTTCTGGAACTCCTCGGTGGCCTGGTAGTAGATGGTGATGGCCACGCGGGCGTCGGTGTCGAAGGTGAACTCCACGTTGTAGTGGACTTTAGCTCTGCCGGCCTCGGCCCCAGGGGTCTTCACCTCCTCGGCGCACCTACAAGCACCCGGCCTCAGCGTTTGGCGGGCAGCAAACCAGCATTTAAACTGTATCCCTTTTTCAAAACCTTAACATACTGTGGGCTGCTCTCGGGTCCTCAGCCCCGCCCCCGCCCTCCTGGGGGGATGACGGCGGAGGACCTCACTGCCGCCGGGCGGGCGGTATGGCTGATACTTCACGGCGCCACAGCCAGCGTCCTTGCGCCTTTGCCCGACTTCATTTACGTTTACTTTTCATCAGAATCGAAGGTTCTAGTCACATAGTTGACACAGTTTCCACTCCCCCTTCTGCCTCTTCAAACCTCTTTCCCCCAGGGAGCCGGAGCCTTAGCAGAGGCAGCATCTGCTTAAAACCGACACTGAAGCCCTCGCTGGTGTGGCTCAGTGGATAGAGCGCCAGCCTGTGGACTGAAGGGTCAGATTCCGGTCAAGGGCACATGCCCGGGTTGTGGGCTGGATCCTCAGTGGGGGACGTGCAGGAGGCAGCCGATCCATGGTTCTCTCTCATCACTGATGTTTCTATCTCTCTCTCCCTCTCCCTTCCGCTCTGAAATCAATAAAAATATATTTAAAAAAAACAAACCACAAAATGACTGACACTGTCTCAGGGACAGCATAGAGAAGGCATTTCAGGGACAACTGATAATGATGGGCCGGAAGCAGCCGACCCCGGGCACTTTGAGTGTCTGGGCGTATGAGGCTAAGAATAAATTTAGAAGTAAATATAATCCATGAATAAGGACTTCCTATTCCAAATCCAAATAGCTCCTCTTTCCACAGGCTTGTGGAGGCCTCTGCAAGATCCACTTTCTCTCCCAGTAATTCTCCTTTTAAAAGAAATTCAGCCCCATGGCCGCTGCCAGGGAAGGGGCAGTGCTCGCCCTCCCGGACGACGAGGTGAAGCCGAGCAGTCCCCAGGCAGGGCCCGACCTCAGCCGGCGCGGGTCAGGCTCTGGGGCCGGCACCCCGCTCTGCGCGGCTCTGCGGGGTGGGCTGCCCGCGGGGGCCCCGGCCCCGGCTGCATGGAGCGCTGGGACCTGCAGACTTACTTGACCAGCCGCAGTGTGTCCTTGCGGATGTTGACCAGGCTTCTCAGCGTCTTCACTGGCTCCTGGGGAGGCGGGGCGGCGTAAGGAAACTGCCGGGCACAGCAGGAGAAGACAGCGGTGAGTGAAGACCCATGGCCGCCCCCCCCTCACCCCCTCCGGCACGGGCCTCCCCGCCTGGCCAGGTGAGGGGGCAGGCCCAGGCCCGAACTCCGGGAGGACACGGAGAGCCGCCACAGCGCGTGGACTTGCTCCCGGTCACAGCCGGTAGAACCAGGATTCGATTAGGCGTCAAAAGAGTGAGATTCGCCCAGCTGGCGTGGCTCAGTGGTTGAGTATCGACTTATGAACCAGGAGGTTGAGGTTCGATTCCCGGGAGGGCACAGGCCCGGGTTGCGGGCTCAGTCCCCAGTAGGGGGCGTGCAGGAGGCAGCGGATCCATGATTCTCATGATTGATGTTTCTATCTCTCTCCCCCTCTCCCTTCCTCTCTGAAATCAATAATAAAACAGTATTTTTTTTAAAAAAGAGAGATTTACCTGCTTTTCCCATTCCATGAAGCTCATCTGAGTCAGCGTTCACAAAGCGGATCGCTAACAAGAACGCCTACAAGTACCAAGCGCAGTTGCAACCACCAAAGGACACACACGCACACACACGCACACGCAGTGGCTACATTCATCCCAAAGGCTTTTCCCTCTGACCTTGGACGACAGGGCGCCAGGCCCGCGGGTGCTCCGCTCAGAGAGGCCACGCCGCGCCTCGGGACCGTGGGAACTGCGAGCAGGGGAGAAGCCGGCCGCCTGCGCAGGGCTCGGTCCCCCGTTCCCGGCCCACCAGAGGCAGCACAGGCCTCTGGAACGAGCGCCAGGGGCTCTCCCGGGGCCATCACGGCCCCTGGCTGCCCGGCGTTTACCTTACACTCTCCCTCCAGGAGCAGATGAGAGGAGACACAGTAACACACTGAACTGGGGAACTGCCTTCAGAAGATGGATCCTCCGATGCGCCCCGTACTGTGCCGATGCTTTGCGGACAATGAACGATTTTTGCATCTAATTCACAGGAAACCTACTAGGCCAGCGGTTCTCAACCTGTGGGTCGCGGCCCCTATGGCGGTCGAACGACCTTTCACAGGGGTCGCCTAAGACCATCCTGCACATCAGACATGTACATGACGATTCATCACAGCAGCAACATGACAGCTATGAAGCAGCAACGACAATCATGTTATGGTTGGGTCACACCATGAGGAGCTGTGTTGAAAGGGCCAGAAGGTGGAGAACCGCTGTCATAGACGGTGTAGCCCTGCCCCAGCGTGGCGCTCCCGAGACAGCCTCGCGCCGCCCACTCCGCCGGGGCCTCCACGGGGCTCTGCTGGCGATGGCTCTGTCGCTCAGAACACACCGCCGGCAGCACCTAGTTGTATGGATTCGATCTGATTGCTGATAACTCACAGGCGTGCCCCTGGCCCGTGAGAAAACACACTCCATCTAAGCTGTCACATGTGTCTCCAATCCCTCTGTGGGAACCGAGTAGCAACTTTTACTTCCTTCGTTGATACGATAAACATTTAAAAATACATGACAGAGGGTTTTTCTACTTACAAAGCAACACATGTGGGGTGCCCCCCAAAACGTGTACGCGCTTTGAATAATTGTTCATTCCAATGGGCTAAATCTGAAAAGAAACATCAATTGAGCTATCAGAAGTAAAAAGGGTGTCTACATTTTTTGGGGGGGTCACCCCGTATTCAAGCAGAAAAGTTGAAAAACACACAAAAAAGTACAAAACTAGCCGTCATTTCACCACTCAGCGATTTAGACCGAAGCTAACACGGCGGGGTCTTCCCCGTGAGGCGTCCATTCACACCCGGCCCGCCTACCTGCCTCGGTATCTCCGCGCTGTCTCAAGCTGCACACACGGCTTTATAGCCTCTTTTCCACGTAGAACACGTGGTGGGCACTGGTAAAGCCGTGATCGGACGTGACCTCGCACGGCAGCGATAGAGGCACCGAATATGCTGGAATCATCCCCATATTCCCCCCTGGTTTCCGCTGGTTTCACCTCGTGTGTGTTTGTGTTTTATTTTTCTGATATAAACGTGGTGAGTGCCTGGGTCCTGCACTTCTGCGTGTTCGTTTGATTCCTTCCTTAGGACAAATTCCTAGGCCTGGAATTTCTGGATCAAAGAGTAAGCATGTTTTTTAAGAGTTTTAAGAATATGTTTGCCAAACTGTTCTCCAGAAAGCGGGTTCTGGTTTTCTCCCCAGGGGCTTTTATTCGGGGAAGCTGGAAACCCCGTCAGCCCCGGCGGTGGCCCATTTCTCTCCACCGGCCCCCGCTTCCACCAAAGGAATTTAAAACAATTTCCAAATACGCTTAAGCAAAAAGGAATTAGGGCAGCAAAATCCGACACAAATGCTAGTCTATAGTAAAGCCAAAATAAATGACTTTGGGATTAAAATAGTTTTCTGGAGCAGCACGTTAATCATATACGTTTGCACAGGCACGGGGAGTGAGCCATAACTCCTCCCGGGTTTAAAAAAAATAAAGACCAGTCCTTCCTTCACTCTTTGCCCTTTCTCCTCCACACCCTCCAAAAAAATAAAAACAACAGAAAAGGGGGGAAAATCCAACAAAGGCCTCGTGATCTTTGTCGTCCATTTAGAATGTTACCTGAGCCTTAATTCTCTGTCACAAGGTGCAGGTGCATGTCATTCTGTGTCCGCCAGTCTTTACCTGGAGCCTGCCTTCATCATGAAAAGTGAGGTGGCCCCGGCTGGCTGGCGTGGCTCAGGGGTTGAGCACTGACCTACGGACCAGGAGGTCATGGTTAGATTCCCCGTCAGGGCACACGCCCGGGTTTTCGTCTCGGTCCCCAGTAGGGGGCATGCAGGAGGCAGTCGATTGATGATTCTCTTTCATTTTGAGGTTTCTCTCCTCCTCTCCCTTCCTCTCTCTGTAATCGATAAAAAATTGTTTTTAAAAAAGAAGGAAGTGAGACTCCAAAGATTGGTGCAGTTATGGAAGGCCCCAGGGCTAATGAGCAGCAGAACCAGGATTTAGACCCAGAAGCCACACTCGTTCTACTGCAGCTGCCCCGGCTGCCGCGGGGCCGCCCACAGGTGGTTCTGATGCCGGGATGTTCTAGGAACCTGAGCGGAGTGTGGAGAGTCTGACCGTTCAACAGTCACCGGCTCAGGTGCTGGGAGCGAGTCCGAACCCCCCGGAGGTCCCCCTATGCGTCAGCAGCAGCGCATAAAAAAGGTACCTAGGGCCACCCTCCTTCTACATTAAAAAAAAAAATTTTTTTAATTGATTTCAGAGAGGAAGGGAGAGGGAGAGATAGAAACATCAATGATGAGAGAGAATCATGGATAGGCTGCCTCCTGCACGCCCCCCACTGGGGATCGAGCCTGCAACCCGGGCATGTGCCCTTGACCGGAATCAGACCTGGAACCCTTCCGTCTGCAGGCCAATGCCTTATCCACTGAGCCACACCGGCCAGGGCTCCGCCTACATTTTAACAGGAGGGTCTAAGGCAGTGGTTCCCAATGTGGGGCACACACCCCTCAGGGGGGCAATTTGATGTTTAAGGGGGGCAATTCGAGAATGAGTTATTAACAGTGAATTTTTTGCATTTCTTATGGTTCTAGAGGCCTCATATACTGTGTATAAATACATATTGTGACGTATTTATGCATTTCAGGTCTCCATTATGTGTTGTTGTTTTTTTAGGCTTATGATTTTATTTTTTATTTATTTTTCTTTTTTTCCCCCTTTATTGAATAAGATATTACAAATGTGTCCTTATCCCCCAATGTCCCCTCACCCGCCCAATCCTGCCCTCACCCGCCCAATCCTGCCCTCACCCTCACCCCGTTGTCCACATCCATCACTTATGCCTATATGCATGCATACAAGTCCTTTGGTTGATCTTTCCCCCTCACCCTCTATTATGTTTTGAAACTTTATTTGCTATTTTTTCCTGTCATTTCATATTATTATTATTAACAATTTCTCAGTGACTTCCTCCTCAGGACTTCAACGGTCCTTCCGTTCTTTTGTTTTCCTCTTTCGTGGATGCCATGCTCTTGGGAAGCTTGTTTAGACCGAGTTAATGGCCTTTCGGGCTTCCTTCCCGTGACTGGGAGTCACTGTTTGAATAATAAGAATTCTAGGGGGGGGGGCATCAGGATGTTAGAGATGCTCGGGTGGGCGTGGCCAAGAAAGGGGGGCCGCTGGTCTAAGGTCTTCTCAGAGCCCAGCCTTCTCGGAGCACACACAGCGTGACAATCCTTGTCGGTGACGCTCACGGCACCTGCAGAGGACACACACGGCCCTGCAGGGGGCGCCGATGGCCGCTGCTCACCTTGCGCCCAGGAGGCTGGACCGCGGGCTACTGACAGGCGCAGCGGCTGCTCCTCCGAATTAATGTCCAAGGATCAAGACATCTGCCCATTCACTCCACACTCCCCTCTGCCTGCTGAACCTGGGGCTCAGGGATGGGCGCGGCGCCCTCTGAGTTCCGTCTGGGAGGCTTACACCTGCTGCCCTGCGTGGGGGGGCAGCACCCTCCCCACGGGCCCGCAGCGTCTGCTGAAATGAGCCCAAATCTGAGGAATTTGAATCCCACAGGCCTCAGGCCCAGGATGGGAGAATATACAGTGTGGGTTCAGCCAGGTGAGCGCATTCAAAGGCGCCCCCCCCCCCCCCCCGGGGGTTGCCAATCAAGACTCAGTAATTCTGAGCCGGCTTCCCTTTGACCTTTAACCCTGGTGTTCATCAGTTTCCTTTCTCTCAGGTTGGCCTCACGTCGGCAAAGTGCCCCCTGGTGACCAAATGTGGAACTGCTACTGTGTGTGTGTGTGTGTGTGTGTGTGTGTGTGTGTGTGTGTACACATTCAATATGTATGTGCACTAGCATATCAACCATATCTCCCAGATATTTTTTAAGCCGTTCTAATTTCAACTACCCCTACAAGTGCATTCACACTTTTGCTGTAGAAAATGTGGCCACAATGCATACGAAATGGTAGGATACCTGGTTTCAGTGGTAAATTACCGGGCAATTCCCAGGAGCCTCTAAAAAG